GGTGACGCTTGCCTCCTCGAGTGTATCGACGACTGTCAGGCCCAGGGCTGCTGCCCAAGCAGAGAAGCCTCGTCCAGGGGTTCTTCAATTCGTCGAGCCAGTGACTCGTCACACAGCCAGACCAGTCCTCATAGACATGAGCATTAATGGACTTTTGTCTAGACGGCAGTCTCGATGTTTTCAGTTAACAAGGGGATAATTGGTCATGTCTATACCAACTGAGCCTTGGTTTTCTCTCTCATTACGTTTTCTATACCAATAATTTATTTCCTTTGACAAACAAAAAGTGGGTTAGGCGTTTCTATGGTATGAGCAAGAGTCCTTACTGGAGGACCAAAGTTGGTTGGGAGACACTGCGCACAAGGTGTTTGTTTTTGTGCCTGGATTAGAGGGATGGTGTCATGTACGATAAAGACAGCGTTATTGCGTCAATCTATTCTTCTTTGTCCCTTGCCTAGGCTTATCGTGAATTGTGATACTTGGTCTCGAGGTACAAGTTCAACCTCGCACATGTCTTGTTACACATGGTTCACGAGTTGGTATCACATAAGTTCGTATCAGTGCAACAGAGTTCGGATGAAAGAGTTGGCTAACCCCTTGTTCCTGGTTACACACTCAACGGCTTTCAAGCTGATAGGTATCATAGATAATATTTCTATCGTCGGACCTGGCTGTGCTACCAAGAAAATGCAAAGCCGTCATCTATATCCTCCTCCAATCCCCACGAAGCCCGTATCATGCAGTCATGTCGTTTCGTTTATCTCTTCATTACACATGATGATACCACCCAAAATGGGGATCAAAGTATCACAGTCAATGTCTAAAAAATTTCAACAGTAATTCTTCTTGTCCAGGGGTAATGACTCAACAGACTCAGGCTCATTAGGCCTGGACAAGAAGAAATTACTGTTGAAATTTTTTAGACATTGACTGTGATACTTTGATCCCCATTTTGGGTGGCATAAAGTCAGAAAATAATAATAACGTGAACATCCGTAAATTTACGCCTGAGGCGGGAGTATCAGCTCCTCACGGCCGCCAACCTCGATCACGTCTGCAACTCCTCGGAACGAATACTCAACTCGGAGAACCTTGTCACGGCCCGGAGCAGGGTCCCAGAATCCCGGAAGGCGGCTCTTGCGCACCCCACGGGGGATGGATAGGGCTGGTCCGCGGGCGTCGGGTGAGTCGTCGACGAGGGCAGCCAGTCCGATGGTGACGTCGGCAACCTGCTCGCCCGTCGAGAGCGTACCGTCTTCGCTGGGGACACCGTACTTGGCGCTGACGATGACAAGCCCGCCGAGGGTCAATTGGCGCTTCTGTCGGCCCTCGACGGCCTGGGAGAGGAGCACGGTGACGTTGTCGGCCTCATAGCGATGTCGGACGGTGGCCATGTTGGCTTTGCCAGTAGCAGCCTCTGCTCTCGCCACGCGTCGACGAGAACGCGAAGAACGTCTGCGACGGCGGCGATGGTCAAGGCCAAGTTCGAGTGCAGCAAGACCAACAAAAGGTAGTGCGCCGGCCCAGAAGATTACACTTGGTCCGATAAGGGCACGGGGAGCGATAAGAAGGGGCACGCTAAGACGCTGGCCAAGTCGGGACCAATAGACTGAGAGGTGGAGGTTGTGAAGACTGATACCAAGCTCTATGCCGATGCGGGCAAAATGGCCGACAGACCAGAGGTTACGGAGGGCGAGGTATCGGTCTTGGAAGGTGTTGGAACAGAGCTCGACTTCCATGCGGGCGGACGAGGGCGTTCCAGGGTCGAGGGATGTCGAGGGAGTTTGAAAGGGGAGGTCGAGGTCTTTGCTATATCGTAGGAGACCTGCAGCCGAAGTAGGTGTCGCCGAGGCAGAGATAGCCCAGGTTCCGTGATTGCAGGAAGAGTTGAGTTCGTGGTCAAGGCCCCTGATGCCACTCTCGCTACCAGGCGAGTCTGAGGAGCCTGGCACTGGAACTCGCTCCGACGACCCTGTTCGGAAGCCCAATTCCAGAGTAGGGGACGTCTTCAGAGGAGACTCGGCACTGAACATGTTGGGGTTCATCCTTGAGAAGTCGGAGAACCAGCCAGAGTGACCAGAACCGAACACCCAGTCGCCACTATCCGCACGCAGGAATCCTGTGCCATGGTACAGCTTCTGGTGAAGTCCGAGTGTAATTCGTGGTTGAGTAGGGGGCTCATGTCGGGAAGACTGTATGCTATACTCGAGGGTTGTTGGCTCTGAGACATTGGGGAGGGTGAATTGGTGGTAGAGGCGGCTAGTGGCCGACAACTCGGGTAGAATATCAGACTCAAGCTCGATGGCGGTCTTGACCCATCTGAACTTGTCTGGAGATGATATAGGCGAGCGGTTCAGGAACTCTTGTCTGTATCGTAGAGTTACCAATGGCGAAAGCCGGTTCTCGACGAGCTGGATGAGGCGGTTCCGAGGAATCGTCAAGGGCAAAAGTGGTTGATATCGATCGTACAACAGTGTCGTCGGTAGCATAGACGTATCTCCTGCAATGCCGTATGTAGATCCAGATACAGTCAGAGTTGGTGTGGCCACCTCGACTGTAGGCTGAAAAGGTCCCTCAACCACTGCTTGCTGCTGTTTGCTTGCCGCAAAGCGCTCTAACCGCGAGACTTGAGGCTGTACTAGCTTGCGCAGTGAGGGAACGTCCACTGTCACGGAATGGCTTAGAGCAAAGTCCAGTAGTCGAGGACCCGAGTGGTCTATGGAAGATCTTGATGCGTCCAGCCGGATACCCAAATCGGAGCTTGTCTGGATGCCATTCTGCACCCGGTTCCGGACAGCTTCCTTAAAAGCTGTTTCGTACTCTGATGATGCTCTGCGAGCGTCCTCGACATGTAGAAAATGATCTAGGTCATACTGCGCTCGGCGGATAGGATCAATCAGTGTCTCGAAGGCTTCCTGGGCGCGAAGGAATTGCTGGCGAGCAATTGGACGAAGATGTTCAGGATAACTATCGGGATAAAAGAGGAGGAAGAGGCGGAAGTATGCACTTCGAATCTGCTCCTGTGACAACTCTTTTCCGTCTCGAGGAAGGCAAAGGATGTCGTAGTAGTCCCAATAAGACGTCCCTGGGCCAGATGGAGCTTCGTCGGCATGGTATAGCAGCCCAAATCCATCAGCCGAACTCATGAGGATCTTTTCGCCGGCCTCGGTGTCCCCCGCTTCAGATGCGTTGGTCAAGCGTTCATAAACCGAGCTCCCATCGTCGTCCCACAGCTCATACTCTTGGCGCGTAGACGCAAACTGCTCATTGAGAGAATTGAGAGAGATCCTGGAGGAATTCCCGCGGAGGGCCTGAGAACCAGCGGGGCCGCCTGGGGGAGGGCGAAAGTCTTCAAAGGCGGCTGAGGAACGGGTGGAGGGGCTTCTGGTGACGCCGGGCCGGGGACGAGGAACACGGAGGTTTGCGCGCTCTCGGGAGTCGGTCATGGTGATGCGGTCGAGTGGTGTTTTTGAAGAAACCAGCTCTCCATGGGCGGTATACGGCTCAAGATAAACAAGAGCAGCAAAACGTCACCGCCCGGACTGACGGCCTGATGGACGACAAGATGGGGAATTCGCCAATCACGACGACGACCATGGATGGATGGATCATGGTTGCCCCTCGCACGGTGCCGTCCATTTGCAGGTGGGTTGATGTTGGGTCGGGAGAGGTTGGCGCCGGACCCTCCTTCCGCTAAACCTCAGTGGGTTCGTTCTCGGTTGTTCGGGGCTTTTGGACCCACAACGGCTCCAGCTTTCAGGCGTCAACGCCCTGACGGGGACAAGGGGGAGCCACTGTTTCTGAGCCCTACAGCGGGGTAGGCGATTGACAACTGTCTCGTGCACCCTACACATGATGATCGACTCTGTTTAAGTTGAAGATCGAAAGAGATTACGGTCAAGAGTCAGCTGTTGTATTGATATTAACTCAAGTCAGACTGTTTCTTGCATCTCAGATCATTATCGTGTCTCCACCGCCTGCTGCTTGTCTATCCGTACAAGGAAAAAGCAAGGAAGCCCGCTGATATCCTTCTCCACGACGTTGCCCATCAGTCGTACGACTGGTCCCGCCTGCAATGCCAGGTCAACAACAGTGACTCGTCTGTCTCCGCTTGGAATTCCCTCGGATGCAGGCAAGACTCGAATTGCTCTAATGCCAAGTTGCTGATCCTACAAGTTCTCCTCAGCAACGTTGGGCGCTATCACACCGGCATGTGTCCGGCCTCATTAATGCTAACCACTCTCTCGCCATGGAATAATGCAAGACATGTGCCTGGTGAAACTCGAGACGCATGATACCCTACGTGCAGGATCTCTCTGGTCTCAGCTTACACCTGATTGCACCAACCACACCCCTACATGTATAAAACGATCCCTATACCTCCCAAGATCGATTATGCAGGAACGCCAGAAAGACTGCCCGGACTGCCCTTGCAAATATACAGTATGAAGCAGTTGGTCACTTGATAGCTTTGAAGCTCACCACATCATGAGAAATACGTGAGTTTTGTCAGTGTGATCAAAGCCCACACCAAATCACCAAGCCAATATGAGCTGCCTTGTAATTCTCATCTAGAGACGCCTAATGCTAGCTTAGCAACGGTTCAGATCGTCGATGGATGGACCAGGTTTGTCGAAGGAGGCTCAAGTAAAACAAACTCCACGAAGATGTTTGGCACATGAATGATTCATAACCATCATGTATTATACATTAACCATCATAGACCATCGAAAAAGCTCTGCGATATCGCCCAATTATTCTTGCCTACCAAATACCAAATCACAATATATGACAGCTCTGCCATTCGACGCATCCCGCCGACGACGAGTTTATAATCATCAGCCCATATCGCGCTAACCTCCATCGCCTGCAGCAAACACTCAAAGAGAAGTCTTCCGGTCTCGCCGACACAGATACGGTTCCTGTTTGCGACAAACAGGGGACAGGTCGGCGCTCTTTTCATCAGCCCCTCCCGACACTGGCTCCAAGGAATAGACAACATGGTCCAGGAGGGAGATGACGGCGAAGCTGATACCATCAAGTCCGAGGTGTTGGCAAAACGCCAGCGCCAGGGTACCTCAACATGGCGGGCCTCTCGTCAACCGTAGAGATAGACATATGCCTCAGCAAACACTGAACAGTATTATGTGCATATCTTATAGCAAGATAATCAAAATCTGAGAGGAAAATATGCCGAGTTCCTCCTAAATTATGATAGATTTCTACTATTCTTATCCTAAGATACTTCTCATTGTATACTAAAGTGCATAGATTTTGGCAACTTCTCTAATACTTCCACGAGAACAATTATATCGTGGCTATTGATGGAGATACTGGCCTTTACTAGTTCAACATCCCCAACGATGCCCAGACATCCCTCACGGAATCCGCTGTGCAGGAGATCTTCTGGGTAGTCGAGGATTGCGATGAGATTCGATCTATCGAGGTGAAGGGTCGGTTCATCAAGACCAGTAGCAGTGGCGTCCACTTCCTCGTGATGACACTTGATGCCGAATTCGTAAGTACTCCCAGTTCCTGATCAAAACAGCTTGTTAACCGTTCGCTGTGAAGATGGAAAAATACAAGTTCACTATCCCTCGTGTGACCAGGGAGGGCGCAGATGTGAACGTCTTTTTTGACCTCCCGCCACCACCTTCTGCAAAAGGAACAAAGGACAACATGTTTTGGAAGGCAGCCGTCGCGCCTGTACACATCCCTGAGCAACCTCATGACGGCAACTTGGTTCTCAAAGTACGAGAACCACTTGCGGATGCACCCGCCGGTGCCGTGGAGGTCAAGTCATTCGCGTCCTACTCTGAGGGAGAAGAGCAGTAGGAACCGCTCTACCTGAAGTTCGACGCTAGCCCCATGGTTTCCAAACGTCGTGTGGCCGCGATTGGAAAGGTCTTCCAGTACACGACTGATGCGCCAACTCAGGACAAGAAGAAGAGGAAGAGGCTGGATGATGATGATGACGACGACGATGACACTGACAGTGAAGATGACAATCAAGAGACTAGCGAAGCAAACCCCGACACATCTACCAAAGCCGATAAGATGAATACGGTTGCGAAGCCCATCAAGGCCAACGGCACCCAGAAACCCACACTGACTCAGAAGGACATCGATCATCTCTTCAGCATGAATCTCTTCCTTAAAGATTTCCTGTTGGGTCGAGGATTCAATTCGCTTCTCCTGCGTGATGACATCGATGATCTCACCAGCCAACTCTCCCAGACAGCTCTGCATTCTGCTGACGGAGGACGGTCTCTCCCTCAGATGCCCAAGGTTGACTTTTTCCATGGCACTGATCTCCACATGATCGAGGTGGTTCTTTCCAGACTTCGCCCTGACGCAAAGGATCGATTCACCAGATACGTGAAGCTTATTCCTCTGGGATTGATCAGCATCTTCGGGTTTGCTGGCTCTGGCAAGACTAAGACACTCGCAATCACCGCCCATCTCTTTCTCACTAAGTTTTCTCTTGTCTACGCATCCGTTCCAACACATGTGGCAACGACCAACTTCGCTTCAAGATGTTACCGTGTTGGAAGAGATATCGTCGAGGCCTACAACAACACTGTCCCGCGAATACCCAACGTCAGGCAAGCGGAAACAAATAAAAGATACTAAAGGCAACTAAAGAGAATATTCAAAGATTTATTATAGTATTGCTTATTATTATATCATGTTTAGATCATAATTCGGCTGTGAAGCGAATACTCTTTGTCAAGGAGGTTAACTGAGCGAAGCCGTCCTGGTGTCCTAAGTTTAATGATTGCGTGCTGGTTGAAACGTGTTGCGATATTAACTGGGGGAGTATCTAGGAAACAATTTGCTGAGAATGCATGATATGAAGTTAAATGTTAATAATAATTTCCATGCATCCATTCATATATCTAAAAACCTGAACATAGGAAACATCTCATCAACATGCCAGTGAGACAATTTCTCATACACCTCTATGAGACGGTTAAGCGGCAGTTGATCAATACCCGAGAAGAACTTGCGGTTCGACCCATCAAAGTAGCCCGTCTCGCAATTTGGCTCGTCTGGGTAATTCCAGCTACGGCATATGATCTTGACGCTGGTCTTGCGAAGTGCTCGATCGTCCTCCTTGGGGTTGATGGGGAATTTGAAGGCTGCCAACTCGCTGATCTTTGCTTCGTCCAAGACTATGCAAAACTTGAGACGACTGCTTCCGGGGGGTCTGTTGAGATTGTCGTGGTAGTATCGAGCGCGGTGCGCATCTGGGTCGTAGTCGTCTTCCCAGAGATGTAAGCTCCTTACATACGCGTTGAACTCTTCTCTCACACGATCATCCGAGGCACCTTCGAGGAGCTCTTTATTCTCAAACAAATCCAACTTGAATCTCTTGAAAGCTTCCCGCCCAAACATAGCAAACTCAGGGCTGGTGTTCTCGCGAAAGTAGCGGTCCACGATCTTGACCAGCATCATCACGGCTGAGTCGAGGTTCCTCTGAGCCTCTTTCGAGTAGCTTGTGACAAAGATACAAAATCCCCAGGTGATTTCGGGTGTGAATTCGTCTTGGTTGCGGTGATCGGTAAGACCCTCGGATATGATAAAGCCAAGAAACTCGCGGACAGCTTGATCCTGCGACTCTTCCGAATGGCAGCGTTGACCACCATAATTGGGCACGACGAGGTCTTCCTCTAACTCGTCGATGGATCGGACAGTCTGATGGATATCAGGGGAAGCGCCTGGACCGACAGACCGAACGTCAAAGTGCCGTTCTCTAGGGACTGGGCGAATGTCGAGGGTGGCATCTGGTCTAGGGAGTTTCGGAACGGGGTTCCCTGCACGCCCGCGGCCCGTCATTGTGTGGGTACAATTGTTGAAGTTAAAGAGAGAAAAAGGACGACGTTGAGGATTAAGAATGATGCCACAAGTTAGCAGATAAATAGAGTCCATGTTGACCCTTCTCTGTTGCCTACTGCCCCACCTTTTCAAGTTTCAGCGCGCACCAACAATTCCATAGCTCGGTCGCTTAAGATCCTTCGAAGAACAGAGTTGTCTAATTTGAAGTTACCTGATTGAATCTGTTAGCATTGATGGTTTCGTGTCTTGTGGTGGGTGGTGCTGGTCCTTGTGTAGGCGAAGCTAGCCTGGGCATGTATGGGACAACCAATCAAGTCTCGAATTGCGATACTTCAAGTCAAGGTTAGAGAAGTCGCCAAAACCTATGCACTTTAGTATATAATGAGAAGTATCTTAGGATAAGAATAGTATAGATTTAGTATAAATTAGGAGGAATTTAGTATATTTTCCTCTTATATTTATCCTTATTATCTATCCTGCCCTTCAAATCCTTCTTCCTATCCGCTCACCATTAAACATAACCATCTTGCTTTATCTAATCGCCACCGTTACTCATATTAGTCCCACTTGATTTCGAAAGTCTCACTTGGACCCCATTCCTCATGGGTAGTGGTGGTTATGTTGCCTCAGGGTTCTTGGCCAGCATCTCCTTCAACGTGCACGACACGATGGTTGTCTCTTTATTTTTGCCTTGAAATTCCTCTGGGGCTTACTTGAAGATATATACGGGGTGGTATAAATGATATTGGCGTGCTATAGTATGTAGAGGTAAAACTGCTTGAGCTGGCCCTTGGTCTCCTTTACGGCTTCGTAAAAATCGCAGGACGGGCCACTTGGAGGATGAAGAAGAGACTTTAGGTCGGCCTTTTGGTTGTGCCCAGTCACACGACCCCGAGTGAAAGTACGAAGCTCATCGTACGCGGCTTCGTCGTTGAAAGTTTGGCGGAGAGTGAAGAGGATGGGATGGTCAAGAGGGTCTAGATCCCATCCGTCAACCTTGAAGACTTTGAGAAGCCACTCATAAAGGGAAAGCTTGATGTCCCACCGCCCAAAACCTTCACCAAGGTCAACATCGGGCGATTTCTTCTCGGTGACATTGTAGAAAGCCCACAAGTCGGTGCGAAAGTCATAGCCGCGAACAACAAGTGGAATTGACTGCCTGGTAGAATTCACGAAGCTGGCTGGTGCTACGAACGTAACAGGCGCGATGAGGACGAAATGTCAACCCCTTGAAACACTTTACATATTCTATACGACGTATTAATCTTAGCCGTCAGCAAAATCCAATAATAGTGAGTGTTGGTCGTGAGTTGTTGGTTCTAACTCCTGCTCGAGCCACAATCCCCTTAGCACATCTATACATGAAACACCAGCAAAGACATAAGTATTTCACGCCAGTTCACCCCAGAGAGACCAAATCGTCAAGAAACAAGATGCATTACTTTCGAATACTCTTTGTCTCGCTGCTGGGTGCGGCAACTGCCCAGCAGCTCCCCGAATACAAGTACGACTACGACTTTCGTCCCTTTGAAGGTATCACGCCGACATGCAAAGCAGCCTTGAACAAGGTTCTCGACTGCGATACATTACTTGCTCGATATGTACCTGAAAACATCATACCTTCGGTCGAGCAAGCGACCAAGATCTGCACTGCCAAATGCCACGGCTCCCTCATCCAGTTTAAAAAGGACATACAAAAGGCCTGTCCAGTAGAGAGCAACATCGTCCACTGGCCCGACGGCAGCAACTTTACGGGCACGGATAACATCAACGAGTTCATTGACATGTACAACAAGCTCTGCTTGATTGACCCGTAAGATGATCCCCTCCAAGTGCGCTTTTGAGACAAGGCTGACCCAGGAGCAGAGAGACGGGAAGGTTCTGCTATGACCTGCTTAGAGAGTGGGAAGATTCGAAAGAGGCTGGGAAGTTCGAGTACCAGAGATGCTCCGATTGCATCTTGGGCTTGTATCAAATACAAGAGGAGTCGAAAGCCGAATCTGGCGAGAACTTTGCGTCAGTAGTTGCTGATTACATCGCCACTTGCGAGACAACGAACGTTGAACCACACATCCTGAAGGGCACACCGATTGCTGCGAGCACTTCTCCCTCAACTGGCAGTTCAGGGGCAGAAACGACTCCAGCTGCGACAGACACCTCGACTGAAGTGGCTTCGACTCCTTCCCCTGAGATCCCAGTCCTCACCCCAATGCCATCCGGTGCGTCGACCTTTGCCATCAACCTCTTCTCGTTCATCATGCCTGTCCTGGTGCTGACAAGCCAATGGAGATGGTTTGACCAAAACTAGAGAGGAGACATCTGCCAGTTCCTCCAAGAATCAATACACGGGAGCACCTATCCCTCCTCGTATGTCGAATGGCTGGACGGGTTTCACGAACAGGACCCAGAGCGCTGCAACGTCGAGTGTGGCCCAGTCCACAACCACCAGCTCAGCAGGCGTGGCTACCCTCATGACCATACGATGTAAGTGGTTTAAATCTCTTTGTTCTGGCAACCGAGTTGACGTTTTGTCCCAGTCAAGGACAAGAACCAGCTGCAGAAGGTGCTATAGAGGCCAACGAGTGAGCATGAGAGCTGTACCAACGTTTCAAGGCGTCATGAAGAAGGGGCTCCGGTGTAAGAGTAGTTTATTACAGTAGTAGTAATGCGTTTCCCATTCACATATAGCTGTCAACGAAGCATCGTCTTAGCCTTATCTAAACTAAAGGTTGAGACGAAGCATCATCCTGGGTCAACTCGAGACATCTTCACTCCCACAAAACTCGATAAGGGATCCAATACCTATAAAACCCAATATTTCCATTCAAGCTACTTGTTTCACCCATCTATTTTGGATAGCTGGACTCTTTGAGAGGGCATGTCTATTGAAGGCAGATAAGCAGGCTCCTAGGACAATCAGTTACATGAACTCCCGAGTATCCTCTCACAATGTCCCTAAACAAACGGCAGACAAAGAGCGAAACTGACTGATACCCCTTGGGAGCATAGCCAAGCGCCATTCCGCAATACACAACCCTTGAACCAAGTACCCGTCGTTGCAACAAACACTGATAAACCACGATCGCTAATCTCGCAACTTGTAAACTTGTTCTGTCCATCAGACATGCAATACAACCCAAGATGATGAATATCCACCGACGAATCACGGGTCAGATGCCTACACACCAAGGTGTAAGTTGAAACGATAATGAGCGTTACGCAGTAAGTTGACGCTTGCAGCGTCCTGCTACCGTCACATGGTCCTCAAATCATGTATCTCCCACTCTACAAAAAGATGTCATGTCAGGAGAAGCAATAACCCCCTTTAAGCACCTGTCAAATCATGCACGAAGCATCCATCACACACACATCTGTCACTTTGACTTGGAGCATCTACAGTTGTCTACTGGCGCCACGACAGCATCTGCCACACGGCGCATCTAGTCGCCACGAACGGTTTGGGAAAGTGGCCGCTGCCCGGGTCGAGCTGAAAGACCTGCAGAGGCGGGCAATTGGATGGGTTCGAAACCCTTGCTGACCGGTCTCAGGACTGCAACGCTGACTGAACCTGATTGATCCTGTTGGATCTTGGCCTTCCTCTCTTGTCAAGTTTCACCCCGGCAGAAGGAAAATGCAACTCGGGAGGCCCTGCATCTCGGTGGGCAGGCCGGAGGTCACAACAGGGGACGCTTGAACAGCAACAACAAACAGCATAACTTCATATCCCCCTCCCCATCCAAAGAGATCAGTAGATGAAGGGAGAACCTACGGCCCCCGGCAGGCGCTCGACGGGCCACCCGCGGCCCGGAGCGTCGACCCGTCGTCGTCTCGCTTGCCCCGGCCTCGAGCAGCGAATTGCTTCTTTCCTCTTCGCGGCGCTGTGCCGTAGCACCATGAGCCATCCGATGCCAGGCCCCTTTGACGAGTTCACCAGGGGGGTTGATTGCACTCTCCTGAGGGATGCCCGCGGTTCGCGTGGTACCGACGATGTGTGCAACGTCGCGCAGCGGCTCGTGAGAAGTCGACGACGCATGTTTTCAACGTACGAATCTGCCCAGCAAAGCCGGGCGAGGACATACATACGCATCTCTCTGTGCTGGCAGCCCTATCTAAAGGGACGGCTGCCAATCGTCAGGGGTTTGAACGGCCAGGGTGAGCGAGATGATTGTATGCAGCCACCATGATTGCCCACCAACGCAGCGCAGCGCTTGCGGGACAAGAGCAAACCGGATCAGTGTCACTGGATTCTTTGAGCCCTCAAGGATAGGGACAGCGGAGGACCGAAATTGCAATCGCACGCGTGGTTCTTGGCTGCCGACGTTCGTTTGGCGGTCCCAGCCTCTGGTTTCACGTCCCCCGAGAACAAACTGTCGTGGGCAGATTTTTTAAGATTCCGTATCCCTTGGCGGGAGCAATCGACGATTCAATCGCCGATAGACACGACGGGGAGGGATTCTCCCTCGGGCGGGTCCTGTAAACTGATTGATGGTGTCCCAAGGGCAAGGATTGGAGATTGCCTGTAGGTCTCTCTGCATGCGTTTCAGCTCCCGCCTGTCAGTAGGAGAATTTCCAAATATGGAATACCAGATAACTGCCCAAACACCACCCAAGAAAAGGAAAAGAGGGCGTCGAAATTCAATCCCTCGACTTGTCGATGGCGTGGCCCTCTCGTCCCCATCGATTGGGCCGGTCATTGCCCTCCGGGATCAAGGGCTGAAAACATCGACCACCCCCGGCACCAACGCAGCAAAAACCGAAGCAAGGTTCCTCGACGTCTGAGAGGCTGAACCGAAATCAAACAGGGCGCTCGGCGTTGTCAACGGGAGGGGGAAATCGGACCCTATCGGAGAATTTGGCACCACCGAGAACTCTTCGGATATCACATCTCCCGATGATGCTCGATAAAAACTGCTCACGGTTTTCTTTTTCCTCTTGTTTATTTGTTGTGTCGGAGAAGATCCATGCAGGACAAGATAAACCTGTTTACGGCCTCGTCTTGGCGGCCTAGATCCATGCATGCTTCGCTCGCTCGCATCGTGGCGCGGCTCGCAGCGTACACCCACAGACGAGATGCATATCAACGGGCGACAACCAAATAGTCTTGTCAACAAATGCCCTAGCGAAAAGGCGTCATGGTGGTGTCAGCAGCCGTTCCAACAGCCCCGCGTGCCAGACAGCAAGGCAGCCTTGCTTTGAGCATCTAGGTTGACCCAAAACAGCAAGCCCATCGTTCTGTTTTGGAAGCTGAATTGACGAACCACGGGTGGCCAATTGAGGCCGGGCTCTGCGTGCCTCGGTCCTTCGGCACCTCTGGAACAGGAGCTCTGGTTACATCGCACCGATTAGAGTTGTTGAATTGACATGGGGAGTCGTCCACTGGAACCGGCAGGATGAGGTCGACGTTGTGCTCTGGTGATACGCAGGAGAGGAGCCCCGAGCGGGCTGACACGCGAAACATCCATCCATCAGTGGGTAAGGTATCGGGAAGATGGGCGAGCAGGCGAGGTACAAGCAGGTACCTGGCCTGGCCTGGTCTGGTTCGGCTCGCAAGCTAGGCCAGTTGTCTCAAGTCTCAGTCGAGGCTGCGTTAGGTGCTGGCCAGTTCACCAGCTAATAAACTTGGCCATCAAACATAGCAACTTGCTATTGTGCCATGCCATGTCAACATCTAATGCCTCAACCGGCGACTCAACTCTCAACAGATGGCATCTTCCGCATTGAGTTCACCTCCAAGGCCCAGGCGGTTCTCTCCCCTCACTTAGCATTCTTGATACTCAAGCCCTTGATCGACTTGACTCTTTCTCTCTGCCTCTCCCGAACAAGAAGAACCCCACATGCTGCTGGCCCAGCAGCAAAAAACTTGCGGGGATGAACCAGGGCGACGAATCCGTATGACCACCGCACGAGCCTGGCCCTAGACAGGGACCCTGGTCAGGAAACCTTGCGAAACTCAGATCGCCAAAGGCTCATCAGCCATGTCCCCGATTGGGAGGCTCACCCGTGGCTTCTTGAGCTGACAAGAGTCTTGTTGGTGATGGGTTTGTGAACAATTACCCAGGGCTTTCAGGGACCCTTGGTCAGAAGGCTTGTGGGGAGCTGGTGAGACTTCTTTGTGAGATGCGCCCCTTCGGCCTCGCCTAGGCCTTTGGTGGCTGATGCTGGAGATTCCAGCTCCTCCTTAGGCCAGCAAGTTCCCGGCTTGGTGTCTCGAGAGGGAAAAAGCAAACATGGGCGAGCTGTGTAGCAGGCCAACCACAGCTCGCGATCCAATCTCACCATTGAGCACCAAGCAAGGCCATGCCCTGTTCGCTCAGCTCAATCGTCCGCCAGCCGCGACAAAGATAATGCCATTTTCTTCTCCTCTCTGACTGCGTAGCGCGCCCTCGGTCAGAGCTTCTGGAGACAATGTTTCCGACAGCTGCAGCATGTCCCGGTAGCAGCCGAGAAGAGCTGGGGTAGGAAACATGAGGCTGTCTTTGACTGATGATGATCATGGATCCATTGAATGACATGCTGCTCATCGCCTTGTCCGATATCCCATGTTCGCCTGCAAATGCCATCAAAATAGACATGACGAGTGCGACCGACAGAAGCGTCCACATGCATGCAATAGCCACAGTAGATCTGTGGAGGACCTGTTCGCGTCAACAACCGACATGTCAATTCTGGCCTCTGATAGGTCGCTCGGCGATAGCCATCCTCACAGCCTCCCACCTCTAGCTGACAGTTCCTGGGGCCTCTAGGGCCTCCTGCCATCATCAGCCAGTTTAGCCAAACGTTTTTGGCGGCTAGAGGGCCCCAAAGACCCAAAGAGGCCAGGGGTCGGACCTCGCAGAGGAACCATTGAATGCAGCTCGGCGTCATGGTGAATGCTTTTGGCTGTGGCCAAGCCTCTTTGGTGAGCTCTCACTGGACAGTCATTTGGCTTGGAGATCCCAAGATCGTGGGTTCTCCGTCAGCGAATCCCACCCTGTTCTGCAACTGATAGATCGCCTCTTGCTCGTTCCGGTGCCGAAACTATCCCACTCGGTGCTTGACTCCGTTATCTCCATGTTGTTTTTGTTGTTTGTTGTTTTCGTCCAGGATCATGTCGCGCGCCCGTGACTCCACCATCTGTGGCAACATCATGACTGGCGATGAATGCCTGCGCATCTTCTTGGATGAGACGAATGTTGGTCACGGGATTGCGAAGCATGGCCAGTCGTGGAGAATATCATCACCAACGCTCCTCTCGTCCCCGGTAGCATCCTTGCCGCAAGCCACAAGCATTGACGTCTTGCCAAAGGGACCACTTGGTAACCCAGGGCCCTTGGGCTGACAATCAGGGCATTGGAGTTTCTCAGACATGTGAGATGCGGGGAGGTTTCAAGTGACATGGAACCGCAGCCGCACTCGTGAGTAAGAGCGCATTGGATTTCTCAACATGGCCATGTCGCACACTTGTACGCCCGCATCATCGCAAACCGGCTGATCAGATGGCGGCATTGACCAATAGCGCCGCTTACTTGCACCCCCGCGAACCTAGGACCAGCTAGGTGTGCACCGTGTAACTGTTGTGTCTGAAGCTGTCCT